TTGTCAATGATGGTTTAAGCACTTTGATTAAAGTATGGAACTAACCTGGACATTTTTTTTTCATTAAATTGAAGGATTTGACATTGGTACGACAATATATTGGTATACACATAAAGTATATCTAAAGAGAATGTTTGGTGAAACATTCACCATTAATAGACCATTAGTGTTCAACTGGAGCTGGAGACAATGAAAAGCAATAGAGAATGTCCATTTACATTGGTTTTAGCAAACCCACTCCTTACACACTGAATTAGGAGTAATACTATAGCCCAAGCCCCAAGTAACACAATAACTAGAGTATTCCTGGTAGCAATCCTTGTAGCAGGGCAAACTTTGCATCCTTTCCAAGAGAAAACATAACAGTCCTCTTTGCAGGCAAAGCAAAGCACACCAGAGTTGTACAATACTTTCCCGGTGAAAACAGCCATCATCAGTCTTTTAGTTGAGTAAGCCTACTTTGTTGTGTTGTGACACTCGAGTGTACTATGTAGAAATAAAGTAACTCCTTGGAACAATCCAGAACAAGCTGGTGACAATATTCATAAACCTTAAAGCAGTATTAAATGTTCAGCTTTTAAAAAAATGCATTGTAATCAAGTAGTTAAACATGACAGAGTACATTTCCATATATTCTGATCTATCATTGCCAACTCCAAGTCACAGAACGCAGCTTCCTTGAAATCAGGATAGGGGAGCAGTTTCCTGTATATCTAACAGGCACTGTTGAGGAGGGACAGCAAAGATGCAGGGAGGAGAAAGGAGTGGGAGCACATCAGTGGCTTGCCACACATCTTTCTCTTTCAATGGACACATGTAGGTCCCAGCTAGGAGTGCACATGCAAAGGTGGCTCCATGGCGCCCTGTAAAAGCATGAACAGCCCCAGAGAGAACAGCATTTTGAAAGCGAGAGTGCAAAGCAAGCAAATGCTAAAAAAGAAAAACACACAGCAAAGATGGTATGTGCTGATGTCTGCAGCACCATATGCTATATTTTAATTTCTAAATTCAATAACGCTTTATTGTTAATAAAAAAGAGTTTTCACTTCTGTTCCACTCTTCTGTACATACATATCCGATTAAATATATAATAATTTTTTAAAATGTCTTCATTCTCTAGTGGTATCCTGACCGCTAACATCCCCACCCCATATGGGTGTCTTCCTTAAGCTAGCCAACCACTGTGGAGGGACCCATACGTGGATGGTCACAGTTGTGCCCGCACCTAGATGTGTGCGTTCAGAGACACACACAGCATGCAGCCGGCCATGCCCCCATCCTTGCAATCACAGCTCGACTGATGGCAGAAGGAGCCTATGGTTCCTCTGCTCTTAAAACCCTCCCCCCAACCAGGAAGTTTGGGGAAACCTGCGTATCTTCCCGGTTGCAGTGGAGGAGAGGAGGGGCTACAGGTAAGTGTGGGGGGAGAACAGGATGTTAGAAAAGTGCTGGGTGTTTTTTGCCTTAATGCAGAGAATGCATTAAGGTAAAAAACACACAGCCTTTAGTACTACTTTAAATGCTTTGTGACTATAGAGGAATATATTTGAATCAAAGTTTGTGTGTCCATAGTTCAGCTTTAAAAGGGAAACTTGGGGGGGGGACAAAGTGGGGACAAATTGAGTTTCCCTCATCAACATATGCAAAACACAGGTCCTGAGATCTTTAACTATTTGTTGAGACAAACAGTTAGCATGGGACACACAGTTTTAATTATGATAAACATTAACTCCCCAGTCCCATCTTGAACGCTACATAGCTGGAGAAAATTTCCTTTTTGGAGTTTTCAGAAATAAAGCAAGTAAACAGCAGCAATTGTTTTTCTAGGTATACTATGTGAATGGGAACACTATGCAACCTATGTAAAGTAGGTGTTATCCACAGCTTAATACACAGAAGAAATACACGAAAGCTGTTTTACTTAAAACAAATTGCATTTCTGTCTATCCGGTCAAGAGACAGGCTCTATATACTATCCTGAAATGTGATGTTATGAGACAATTGAATAGATTCTGTTCTAAGAAGGTACTACTGTGCTATGTCCATTTGGTCTTGACTTTTACACACCTCTTCCACATAGCACAGTCCTTTCCAAGAGGGAACCTGATCTTTCTCTGCAGCATCTCCATTTTCACTTACATCTCTCCTTCCAATTCTCACCCTGTGACTGGCCAGTGAAAAGAGAAGCAGCACAGCTCACTCTCTGTCAGTCTACACTCTTTTATAAGCATGCTCCTTGCACTGCAACAAACCTGATTGGCTTTTTGTGCTGCCTCATACTCCCTGAAGCCAAGGTACTTACACTGCTTGCATTTGAAAAGTTAATTTAGGGATGTTTTAATTAATTGCGTTTAAAAATTAATTTAGGGATGTTTAAGTTTTAATGAATACAAAGCTACATTTATTTGTCTCTTTAATATCTGCCTGGAGTTCAGCTGTAAGAAATCAAATACAAATATGCAGTATGTATTCAAGGATTTTATTCAAATAATAGATCAGGGTTTTAAAATATGCTTTTACAAACCAAAAGGGGTTAGAAAAGTTTTGGCATTCATTTTAAACTGGTGACGGTATGTGCTTTTTGATGTCAGCCCCATTTTTAATGGTATTCAATACTTTCCTTTGTTACAGGATAGAAAGTATTTACGTTGATTGATGAAAATTATTTGCACATATTCTTTAAAGGTTGTGTGTACACAGGTGGCCTTCTTAATGAACAATTTAGTCCCTATGGATTTTATCATTCTGAAAATATTATTTTCAGACAATGACATTTGGGCTTACCATGTACTGTTTCAGATCTACCCCCCACCCCCCTTCCTGAGATCTATATTACCATGAAAGACCCTTTGTTTTAACCAAAACAACAAAGAACATCTGTTCTGTATAAATTTGTTCGTTTCTGTACTATACTAATGAGAAGCATTTCCACCATTCCACCGTTCATTTATTATGACTGTACTGATTACATTCATTGTATAATCTGCCTGTGCAAATATGTAGATATAAGAAGAATTGTATAATAATGCGGCAACGATAAGGGCTTTTAAGGTATCAAAAACACCACTGATATAACAGAAGTAAGTTAAGATTACATCTTTATTTTATATAAAAATATAAAAAATATTTGATTGTGCATAATTAAACACTAAAAACAGTGATCCTTCCTTCATATTATGGCATACAATCAAAACCTCCCTCATAAAGATACCAGCAATATTGATTGCTTATCCAAAGACCATATAGAGTCCAAAATATGCGATATGTTCCACAACGTGTTTCGCACTCAATATAGCGGCTTCTTCAAATGGCTACCTAACCTGGTGACAACATTGCAGGGATTTTCTCTTTGGCTTTTATAGATGCACTTCTTACTTCAAACTGTCACACCAACCAACCTCCTTAAATACTCACGTATGATACAGTGTACCATTATCTTAATCTATGCTATAGTATGTTACATAATATGATACATTTGTATACTTACCTTTATGCATATCTATCTATATAGAGTATCCTCTTGCTTCATCCTGAAGAAGCCCCTATATTGGGTGCAAAATGCATTAAGAAACATTGGCACCCCTTAATGTCATCACATCATGATCATATCACATTTTTTGGACTCTATGTGGTCTTTGCTTAAGTAATCAATATTGCTGGTATCTTTATATGGGAAGTCTTGATTGTATGCCATAATATGAAGGATGAATCACTGTTTTAAGTGTTTTATTATGCACAATCAAATTTTCTTTTATATTTTTGTATATTTTTTTTGTATATTTTTATATAAAATAAAGATGTAACCTTAACCTACTTCTGTGCTATATCAGTGGTGTTTTTCATACCTTAAAAGCCCTTATGTTTGCCGCATTATTATACATTTCCTCTTTGGGTGTGGTATCAACTTTGCTCCATATTTATCCCAAAATTCCATATATAGCGATATTAGAAGAATGTTTTGATGCTTGTATTGGTATATTGTGCATATATAATGTTTATTGCGTATATATCTCGCATATGTAAATTTTACTAATTAGGAGCATGAAAATAATCTCAATGGCAAAAGACTGATGTTAGAAGTTTGAGAACCAATATATGCCATGTATCCAGATTGTATACCCTGTACAGTGTAAGTAAGCCATAAAAATCAATCAGCATTCGCTCTGCTAAAGTCATACTAGTGCCTGGTGAGTTCTGTTTGGTTATTACACTTAAAGTGGAACTATGTCCAAAAAAAATAATACATATATGATGCAGTCTCTCGAGAGTATGAAAACCCCACCCCACCCCATAATACAAAATGGACAAAACTAATTCAATGTATTTAGTCTTTACAAAAAAAAGTAATTGGTGGACAGCTTCTTTTTTATTCTTTGTGCTGGCCCACTGATGATGTCTGCACCAGATCTTACTTTTCCCCTATGATATCCTTTCCTCTGAGATTTTTCCTCAAACCACTAAAACCTTTACAGTGCAACTGAAGCCTAAACCTTTTTTTTAGTTTTGGATAGCATGGAGTGGAAGTAGAACCCCTGCTAGATTCTTATTGCTGTCTGTGTTTCATCACGAGCCAGACAAAATTTATACAGTGTATCGCCAGCTTGACATGCCAACTTAAGAGGCTCAGATATGATTTAGCTACACCCTTTTAAACTAAACGCACTGTGTGCTTCAATAATTTCTTCTTCAAGTCAAACTAAATCATGACTTAAACCTTAAAAATGTATTCAAGTACCTTAACTATTAACAAACATATAGCTTGTGTATCACTCAGTTGTAGATCCTCCAATCATTTCTGAATTTGTGCTGATGCTGTCCTTCCTTTTTTTCAAACTCTTGTAGAAAAACTGCCAGAATCTCAGGCTAGAAAAGGTAAAACATCTTAACTAGAAGATATCAGTCTTTAAAAGATTTGAGCTATGCAGGAGGCAGAGAGCTGCTGGCAGGAGCATGTGTTGTGGAGGATTTTAACGATATATCCCGGTGTCTTGTCGTTGCAGCTCCACCAGAGCCTTTGCTGTGTAAATTTGCTGATGGAGGGCAGAAAAAGAGGCAAAATCAGAGCAAATACACACAAAATGGAAGGCCGTGGCCGAGAGATGGAGAGGTGAGTGCCTGAAAATAACAGCATTTCTGATAATCAGCTTGTTAAAGGTGTGTTTTACTTTCACTCTTGCAACCAATCAATTTCCATGTGTACAGGGCTAACTTCTGCACAGTGAGTGCTAATCGGTTTTCTTCAGCTACTAACCTGCACTTCGTGTTTGCCTCCTTGTTTGTTGATTATGGCCAATGGCTTTGCTCAGTGCAGTTAAGGTATAAGTCCAGCCAAAACAACTTTTCTTTAGTTTTGAATAGAGTGGGAGAAGATTAAGTACCTGGGTTTTCACTGCTATCCAGAGATACGTTAGAGAGATATACCCTCACTTACTCTTCCAGTGACAATTGATTTACCAGACAGAAGGTGAGAGTGAATATGCTTGGTAACAAGGGATGCTACTCTTGTGCGGAAGCTTTCAATGTAATTGTCCAATTTGATGTTACGTCCTGTTGAAGGTGTAAAGTCTTTGTTCTTTTTTCTGCTGTCCAGGCTGGATGTGGTGTTATCTTTGTCAAAGAAAAATTCCTTGAGCCTCAGTCTTCTAAAGAATTCTTCCAAGTCTGAGTACAATTATATGTGGTCCAGTTTGGTGCTTGGACAAAATGTAAGCCCCTTGGATAGGACTGCTGTTTCCTGTATTGGGAGGTGATGATTTGAGAGGTTGACAATCTCAGTATTGTCTGAGCTGCTTTCACTGTGGTTGATCATTTCAGCTTGGATAGGGACATAGGTAGTTACAGAGGATGAGGATATATCACACAACAGACAGTAGACATTTGGAGGTTTTCCCTCCAACTGCCCTCTGTCTGCTGAAACCATTGTCACTATGACGGGGACCATATAACAGAGCACCGGATATGCATAATAGCCAAATAGGGGACCTAAACTTTCCCCATTCTATCCAAAAAGTTTTGGCTGAATATCACATGTCCAAGAAGTACAAATTTCACTAGTTAACAAACAATAGAATTACAGTCAGTGGCTCCTGTGGTGTAATATGCCCTGCCCTGTGATGTAATATGCCATGTAATATGCCCTGCAGGGTACATTTAAAATTCATTTAGATGCTAAATCAACAGATAAGTAGAAATCTGCCCAATTATGTTGATATCATAAAACATGTTGGATCTTGTAGTGTGTTCGGGCTGTGCTGCCTGTTTTTGCCAACACATCCCGAATGCAATACAAGGCAATTTACCTTGTCACAGGTGGGCACAGTTCATACCACCATGTTCCGGTGCTGTACATTCACCATGTTGTGCCCATATAACTTAATAAAATGTCACTTGTGACATTTCCATAAAGTTCTACAAAAAAAGGAAACAGTGTGTGGGCACAACGGCATTGTCCAGGCACACGCTCAACCACACAGCTGCTGGTGTGAACAAGCCCTGAAACTGCACAATAGAAGTCAGTTGAAGTTTAATTTTCTAGAAATAGAGGGCAAATTTTAAGCTTTACTATATTTACTAAGACTAAAATATATTTAAAATGAATCTGTCAGAATTGGAATATAGGAGCCATTATTGTCAAGTATTTTTTAAGATGCAAGCTCTGGAACCTTTTTTACAGCTTACAATGTTACTGACCCAGAATTAGTATACAGCCAGTGAAGTTGAAACTCCTTTCAAAGTTAGGTCACAAATGACAACACCTAACTTTAAAGCCCAACTCCACCTCACCTCCACTGCCATTTCTCGCCCCCTTACCACCCAGGGAGCACCACTTTTTTTTATACATAGTTTTTTATAATTATTAATCTGATGACTTCACAAGTCCTCTTCCCTCTCTTCCCCTAGCAGTTGGCAGGCCCTAAATACTGCATAATAATGTGGCCCTGATCTCTACAGCATTTTCCTGTTGGCCAAAAGCAGCCTGATGACACTCCCCAAGGGGCAAATCACTGATGCTTTGGGCTTAAAGGAAGTGATTGAATGTGTCCCCCTGCACTCCTTACAGCATTTCGGACCAGTAGCCATGGTCGTGCTTGTAATGATAATTGAGGATGGCGACGTACATACACATCAATCAGTAGACAATGAAGATCACAAGCACTAAGAGAATGATGTTTAAAATTTGGTGTTCATTTAATCAAACACATCGTCACAGATGTCACAGAGCCAATGTTCCGGGGCCATGAAGGGTCCCTTTACCAGGGCAAGATAGTGACCAAACTATGTCACTATCCTGCCCTGAAGAAGGAACCCTGCGTGGCCCCAAAACATTGTCTATGTGATATCTGTGATTATGTGTTTGATTAAATTAACACCAAATTTTGACTATCATTCTCTGAGTGCTGGTGATCTTCGTTGTCTACAGAACACTGGAGATATGGTGATTATTGTAGTAGCAACATGTTTTTTTAATTGTACAATGTGTTGGGCAAAGGATGTTAAAAATGTATTTGAAGCTGGATTTGGGCTTGACACTTTAATTAAATTAAAGCTTCCACTTTTTTATATTTCTAATATTCATTTATTGTTTTACCCCCACGTTCTACCCCAATTGGCAGCGTAAAATATGATAGCAAAGGAAAGAAAGGTAAAATATTATATGAAAGTTTAAAGTAAAAATTAATATAGACATCTGAGGCAATATCAAACCAGAAATTGTTAAATTAAATGACTAGTACTTTATACCCAAAGTGCTTTATAATTCATGGTCATAGGACTAAATACTGGTATTATGCATAATGCCTAAAGGAACATTCTATCAGCCAAGCTGTGAAAGTGAAGAAAATAAGAGACCTTTGGCTGTCCTTTACGAAGACTGCAAGATATCTGAATGGTAAACTGTGATCTGGTGACCTTACTTTGTGTACTTAAAATTGCTGAAATAGCTATGCCTGCCAATCACAAATAACTGATTTTTTGCACTTACAGAACTCTTGGTTATGAGCATCATGCTTATGTGTATAATTTATTCTCAACTAGGCAGCTATGCATTTTTAACTATAGAGCCACTAGTTTTTTGCTTAGCTACTACTATTGGCAGCGACTATGTTTAAAAAAAAATAAAGTTTTTGTATTAATTTTAGGCAGGATTCACATTTCTGCATCATGGTAACAAATGTAAGATGTGTCAGTGTGTTGCGGTGGCAGAATACACAGTAGTGCTTTGCAATGCAAAAAAAGGGGCGTGTGTGATTTTAAGTGTGTGTTGGCAGCCCATTCATTTTGAATGGGTGCCTTAATGATGTGCACATTAACATGCGACATAACGCATATTCACAGACTTCAGTCATGTAAATAGGCTTATTATTGCTTGCACAATAGAAAGTCTGATAAAAGTCTGCTTTTATCATTGTTTCAATTTTAGGTGTGTCTTTTTTACTTTACATACTATTTTACAATTTATTTGTAATAATTTAATCATTCATAAATTTATGTCAGAGCATCTGTTCTACTTTATTGTAGAGGTATTTTTTTTAATAAATAAGAACAAAAGAGCAGTTCTGCTATAGAATCTGGCTTTGCCTTTTATTCACCCAATTGATCTTTAAAGCCCAATTGTGCAGTACACCACTACTCAAAGACTCACTTGAAGTGTGTGTTTTTATGTAAATATTAGTTCAGCACCCATCACCGCAGTTGAATGCTCAGTTGTGATTGTGTATTCCTTACCATCTTGAAAACTGCTGACTGTGGATCTTTTTTTACATTTATTTTAAAAATAATTTAAAGTAGATTTTATGCTGGAATCTTTAAAATAAATATTTGCAATTTTTAAATGCCAGTGAGGTAATTGGAGAAAAAACAAAGGTAGAAACTGTCATCTCAAATTCCTTTTATTGGATCATTTTTAGAATAATTTTTTTTGAAAATTAAAATATATTTTTCGCTACTTTTTGAAGTACAAATTCTGTTATATTTGTGATATTTTGAGACTGATTTGCTAAAGGGTACATCTACATCAGTCATGGGTTGACAACCAAATCATATCCTCGCAGTATCTACTATATGTTCATAATGAAAACACACATTCATAGAGACTACAGAATATATACACTGAATTTCAGAGCAAGCGTGATTGTTAATGGAATATACGCTCTAGTGTCTGGAGCGTATATTCAGTATATATCCACTGTCCAGGGGACAGTTTAGGATGAGGGCGTGGAACAGTATATTGTACCCACATATGGAATCTCATACTCCAACTGTTGTGTGAACTGCATGTGCACAAATATATATGTATTTGTGGAAGTTCACACACCAGCTAGCATATGAGATTCCATACACTGGTGTTTGTAGTGGAGACTCCAATCATAACTACCTGTAAATATTATGCCTTTTTTGCTCTGGTAGCCAGTGGTGTCCCTAGGCTTTTGCCACCAGAGGCAGGGCAGGTGTGGGGCAAGCTCTGGCTGGTGCCCCACCCAGCTCCTGGCAACCAATGACATCAGCTGGGCAGGATGCTGGCCAGAGTGTCCCAGGTTGGCCCTTCACATCTCCCGACCAAGCTTTTAGCAATCTGGGATGCTCGGGTTAGAAAGGGGGTGGCAGGCACAATCAGGGAAGTCATCAAAAATGTTGGGGCCCCTTACACAGCTTTACGTCTGGGCCCCCCACCCCCCTACCAACACTGGACCTGTCCACTGACTGTCCCATTGAGTCTGCCCACTGTAACACTAATTACAGTTGTAACACTATTTTATCTTAATATATGAAATTGTAATGTGTATTACATCGCACAGGTAACACTGACTTCGCTGAGGTGACACCGCAGAGGTAGCACTGACTCTGCTGGGGTGACAATGCACAGGGGACACTGACTCTGCTAAGGTGACAATGCACAGGTAACACTGACTCTGCTGGGGTGACACCACACAGATGACAATGCACAGTTGACACTGACTCCGCTGGGGTGGCAACGCACAGGTAACAATGACTACGCTGGGGTGACAACACACAGGTGACACTGACTCTGCTGGGGTGACAACGCACAGCTAACACTAACACATTCTGTCTTCTGTCAATCCCCCCACCCCTGTGTTGGGCCCTGTTTAG